GTGGAACTACTGCTATCGTGACACTGATTTCATTTTTCAATAATTATAGTTTATTAACTGTTCCAATTTATATGGTAAAATTACGTACGAAAATAAAATGTAACATTGGTCAGTGCGAAATAAAAAAAAAATATCTCAAATTACCGTTGCTAATTATATTGAAATTTCAATAATAGGTAACGTATTCTTCAAAATATTATTCGCAAACTACGTTTGCGCCTACAACATTCTTTTCTAAAAACTTTCTCTTTAATACACCCAGTACACAAACGGTTTGAAGAATTCATTAGAAAAGCAGCAAAAGCATGTTTTAGAGAGAATGCGAATTATGGCAACATGGCATTCAGACTTATGTAACGTCTATGTGTAAGAAAATTGCAATGACAACGTAGCACACACACTTGCATAATATTAATATTATAATATCTGTGAAAGGATGATAGCGGTATCATATTAGCACCTATTTAACGATCATCTTTATTCTATAAGTATATATATGTGTATATAAATTCGATATCGTCGGTAAATGAAGATAACGTTTTCTACTTTTTGATGATCGCTCTACGTTATCGACGCTTATCAAGTTCGTCGCTCGCTCCGGCATCCCCTTAAGTAATAAAATTTTTTCGAAAGGACCCCGCACTAATCATATGAAAAAAATGGTTTCAGTCAAATTGACTGAAACTATGATATTTTGTAGTTTATGAGGTGCTGATAAAAAATCTTCAACAAAAAGTGTAAAAAAATGGACAGTTTTTTTCTAGCTCCATTAGAAAGTTGCTATTTTAGGTCTAACCGAACTTTTATCTATAGTACACAGATTACTTTTTTAACTGTATAGGCATTTATATATACAGGGTGGACCATTTTAATCCATCCAGTCGAAATGTCGAAAACCAAGCACGGAAGGGAAAAATTTTTCAGACAAAAGTTGTTTCGTTTCGAGGGGACCATAAGATGGTACCATTGCTTTGACCTTGAAGAATTATTTGAAAGTCACATGAAAGTCACCTTAATTTTTTTAAACGGCATCCCCTATTTTTTATTATATATTCTTGTAGCTGACCTCGAGAGCTTTCCAAAACATTGTAATGAAATGTTTCTTCATTGAGTACTTTTCGAGTTATAAAGCTCCAAAGTTGCAATATGAAAAAATTCAAAATATCTCGTAAAGTATTCACTTTCCGTCTTATCTTACACGATTCAACT